CGACGCCTGGAAGCTGATGGCGGCCCTCGCTTTCGTGCGCTCGGACCTCGGACCGCGCCAGGGCCGCCTGCCGCGGGCGGCACGGGCAGCCAAGGGCTGGTCGCGCCTGGCACCGCCGCGGTCGCGCCTGCCGCTCCCTTGGCCCGTGGTGTGCCTCATCGCGGAGGTCCTGTGCCGCAGGGGCCTGGCCATGCATGCATGGCTGACCGCGCTCACGTTCGGCCTGTACTTGAGGCCGCGAGAGGCGCTGGAGCTCGTGCAGGCCCAGCTCATCCCACCAGGATTCACCTCAGCCACAACGATGCACCATTGGTGCGTGGTCCTCCATCTGTTCGAGAGGCAGACCCCGTCCAAGACAGGTGTGTTCGACGAGAGCTTGCTGGTGGACTCGACCTGCTTTCCGTGGATGCCGAACCTCGTCCAGGAGCTGCACCGCCGCACGCCCGCAGGCCACCGCCTGTTCCCAGTCACCTACGCGCAGTGGAACTACCACTTCAAGGCCGCCGTCTCCGACCTCGGCCTGCAGGTCCTGGGCAACTTGACGCTGCGCCAGCTGCGGCACGGCGGCGCGAGCCACGAGCTGTGCGCGGCGGCGCGGCCCCTCCGCGACATCCAGAAGCGCGGCAGGTGGGCCGCCGATGCCGCGCTCCGACGCTACGCCAAGGGCGGCCGCGTGCAGGAGCAGCTGCACCGCCTCCCGCGCGCCCTGCAGCTCCAAGCCGAGCAGGCGTTCCGCGGGATTGGCGCCACCCTATCGGCGAGCTGGCTTCGTGGGTGAGGCACGCCAAGGCCGGCGTCTTCCTGGAAGTCTTCAGCGGCTCTGGGCGGATGTCCGCGGCATGGCGCTTGCGCTTCCGGTCGCAGCATGCCACCTTTGAGCTGGACATTCGCCACGACACCGACAGCGACCTCCTCCGTAAGCGCATCAGACAGCTGGTGAGGGGCTGGGTGCGGAGTCGACTCATTGCCGCAATCTGGATTGCGACGCCCTGCCAGTCTATGAGCCGTGCCCGCAACCGGCCCAACGGGCCACCGCCCCTTCGGACGAAACAGTTCCCGCTGGGGTTGCCAGGCCTGTCGCCGGGAGACCAGCTCAAGGTTGAGAGAGGAAACGCGCTTGCCACTTTTAGCTTCTCTCTCTTTTTGCTAGCGCGCAGTTTGAACATACCAGTTGTAATTGAGAACCCTAGCACCTCTTGGTTGTGGCAGCTCCCAGGTGCAATCCATCTCAGTCGAATTCGTAACACTCGCATTGTAGACTTTGATTTTTGCGCGTTCTCGACCGCGTGGCGGAAGCGCACTCGGCTCTTATATTGCCATCTCAACCTCGACCCTCTCATACCGTGTAAATGTTCGGGTCGTGGTGTCTGCAGTTTCAGCCGCCGCCCCCATCAGATCCTCGAAGGCAAAGACGCCTCAGGCACCTTCTGGACGCACATTGCAGAACCGTATCACAAAGACGTGTGTAGGCTGGTAGCTAAGTGTTTCCAACAGGCTTTGCGAAACCACTCGTTTCTTAGCCTGGACAGGTTTGTGTTGGCCTAAGGCCAGGGTTTCAAAATTCGGTGTTGCTCGAGTTTTTAGATTTCGGATCGTGATTGTCTCGAGACTCGTTTTCCTTGGTCGAGGTGCCTCGCCCAGCCAGTCAATGTCGCACGGAGCTCCGGGTCGAGTCATCACACAGAGTTGCAGATGCAAAACAGTTCTGGCCCCCGAGAGTCTCCCCGGCTTGCACAGATTGCAATGGCGTGCCATAGATTCTTTGCTGCCTGTGGCGAGCGGGAGGGGGCCGCGGCCACCCGTGCTCAAGCCTCCCACCCACGCTGCGGTCCCACCGATTTTCAGCTCGAGCAGTGTCCGTTGGATCGTGATTGTCTCGGGACTCGTTTTCCTTGGTCGAGGTGCCTCGCCCAGCCAGTCAATGTCGCACGGAGAGCTCGGGTCGGTCATCACACAGAGTTGCAGATGCAAAACAGTTCTGGCTCTTTCCCTCGTCGCGCTAGCACAGATGTAATGTATGTATTCATGTATGTATGTCTGTCATGTATGTATATATATATATATATATATATATATTCTTAATATATAATATACTCCTCTTCCCCCTTATGTTTAAAAGCCCGGGCGGGGGGAACCCCCCACCCTCCCAAGACCGGGGACTCCGGGATTCCCTTTCCTGGGGGTTTTTGGGCCCTTCTGGACGGGCCTCGAAGAGGCCCCCCCCCCCCCCCCCCCCCGGCCTTAGCTAGGGCGGTAGGGAGGAGGGGCGGAGGGGGGGGGAGGGGAGGGGGAAGGGGGTAGGGCAGGGCAGGCAGGGGGAGGGGGGAGTTTAGGTAGTAACTGCGATTATTGTCAAGCTCCCAAGACACCTTAGGGCGATCAGGAGGGGTCCATGCGGAGGGACGTTCCACCACCCACCCAGAGGGGGACCCCCAAGACAGCACAAGAGCGCTCCAAGAGCGACCGACGTGACCTCAAGATGGCCCAGGATGCCTCTAGGACGGTCCCAAAGGCTTCAACAAGTCTCTAAAAGCACTGCCAAGAAGGCCCCAAGAGGCAAACATCATTGATTTTCTGCGAGTTTTTGGTGAATCTTGGGGTTCTCCTCTTTTCGGCTTCCCGACGCTCCAATACGGCAGTCTTCTGGGCGTCCGAAGCCGCCTGGGAGGCTCCGAGATCGCCCCACAACCATCCGAAAAGGCTTCCAGGCAGACCAAGAGAGCCCCAAAACGGCACAACAGGGGTCAAAGATGGCCATCAGAGAGCCCCATGATTCCAAATCGTGACCCGGTCGTTCAGGGAGACCGCGGTTGGAGGCAGGGTGGCCCGAGGAAGCCCCCAGAACCTCCAGAACACGCCCAGGAGGCCTCGAGAAGGCCTTAAGAAAGCCTGAAACTTTTGTGAGGTCCCCAGAGGCTCTCCAAGGAGAAGCCTCCGCAAAAAGAGCTGAGGAGGATGGGGAAAATGCGCAGGGTATGGCGAGAACGAGGAAAAAGAAGCATGGAGGAAGGAAAACGAATAACATCATTTGAGCGGCGATGCTGGAAAAGGCAATAAGGAGTTATCGCTAACTTGTCGGCTTGACCATCCTGCCATTCTTCCTGCACACAAAGCTTCAAGGACCAAGGTGCATGGCGCGAAGCGCCACTGCGGTCTTGTGTGTGTATATGTGTGTGTGTGTGTGCAGCTGCGCGCGCGCTCGCTGCTGTACGACCTTCTCCGCCCCGTTGCCGCATGCATGGCCGCGACGCCAAAAGTGTGTGCGTGTGTGTTTGTGTGTGTGTGTGTGTGTGTGTGTGTGTGTGTGTGTGTGCGTGTGTGTGTGTGTATGCGTGCGTGCGTGCGTGCGTGCGTGCGTGCGTGCGTGCGTGCGTGCGTGCGTGCGTGCGTGCGTGCGTGTGCTTGCGTGTGCGTGCGTGCGTGCGTGCGTGCGTGCGTGTGTGTGTGTGGGTGTGTGTGCGTATGCGTGTGTGTGTGTGTGTGTGTGTGCGTATGCGTGTGTGTGTGTGTGTGTGTGTGTGTGTGCGTGTGTGGCCGCGCTGCTGGTCTGGTTCTCAGCCGACCCCGTGCACGTCCACAGCGGTCCGAGATGAAGATCGGTATACTCTTCACACGTCTTGCTCGACGTTCGACCCTGATGCTTTGTTTTAAGGCCTTCTTGACTACTTCTGCGCATTGCTTTGTGGGTCGAGCCAGAGGGCTCCCTAGTGTGGACGTTGGTGGGCGACCTAACTGGTCGGGCACAAGCTCGCATGATACTTTGGGCAGTTGGAGCAGCAGCTTGGATCCGAGCTTGTATTTTAACTGATGGTTGAGATGGATGTGTTCGCCGGCCTAAAGCGCCATCCGCTCGAGAACCAGCTCCCCTAAGCTCTCCGTTTCCAGCCTGAAATTGTACCCTTTGGTCCAGCACGGGTCCCTCGAGCAGCAGCGCCTCATAGATGCCCAGGGCTCCTCATTCGAGTAGTCTCGCAGCTCAAGTCGCAACGCGTCTTCAGCCAGCGCTCCCCTTCTATCTACGGACAACAACCAGGCGTCCGATGTTGCCGCCGAGAGACTTGGTGGACGCGTACCCTTCCGGTCTGCCTGAGGCCCGGTTTGCCTTTCATGCCTCGCTCCTGAGAACCCTCCTTCCCCTCCCCCCCTCGCTCCACCCCAGGCCTCCCCCACCACCTTCACCACCCGAGCTCTCCTTCCAGTTGCCCCTGCTGTCCCTTTCCTCTTACCCTCCTTTCCCTCTTCTCCTCATCCCCTTTCTTTCCTTCTGCCCCTCGCTTGCCCCCTCTGCATTGTTCACTTCTCCCCCTCCCCCCTTCCCCCCAAGGCGCGACGCCGTCGGCATCGCCATCTCCTCGTTCCTTCCCAGGTCTCCATAACCGATTGCCCACTTCTCCACACCCTTTCTCCTTCCAAATACCTTCTTGCCCCTCCGCCCTCCGCCCCTCCCCCCCCCTCCTCCCTCCCTCTCCCCCCCCTCTCCCCCTCCCACCGCCCTCCCTGCCGCCTGTGCATTCTCCGCCTCCCTTCCCTCCCCGCACCCTTTGGCGCCAGCGTCGCGTCCTCCCTCCCTCGTACCCTCTCTCGTTCCCTTCCTGACTCCCTTCCCAGACACCCGACGTGGTGATTTTTTCGTGACCTAACCCCAGGAGCCTGGACCCCTTCCCGGGGACCGGTTTCTATCCTGGGTCGATTTTGACAGTCCCGAGGCTCGGCGCGAGGGCCCCTGGAGGCTGAAAGTCGCGAAACACCTCCCGTCGTGATTTTTTTCACAGCGCGAGGAGGTCTGGCTTCCTCCCTCGTTACCCCCCTTATACCACCCTCTCCCCTTCCGCCCTCTTCCCATCCCCCCCTCTCCCGTTCCTCCTCGCTCCCATCCCCCCCTTATTCGTTCACACTCTTCCCCTCTACCCCCCCCCCCCCTTTCGTTACTCCCTCCTCTTCCCCTCCCCCTTCCCTCCATCTATTCCCCCCCCCCCCCCCCGCGCCCCCGCCCCCCGAGAGGCGCGACGTCGTCGGCATCGCCAAGACGGGGTCGGGGAAGACCCTCGCCTTCGGCATCCCCGGGCTGCTTCACATCGCCGCCCAGCCGCCGCTGCAGTGGGGCGACGGCGCGCCGGCGGGGGGCGCTCGTGCCTCGCCCCGCCTGCGGTCGTCGTCGCGTCGTCGTCGTCGTCGTCGTCGTCGTCGTCGTCGTCGTCGTCGTCGTCGCCGTCGTCGTCGTCGTCGTCGTCGTCACTGTCGTCGCTGTCGTCGCGGTGGTGGTCGTCGCCTTCGTTTTTGGCGTGGTCGTGGTCGTCGTGGTCGGGTTGGTCGTCGGCAGCGTCGTCGCGTCGTCGTCGTCGTCGTCGTCGTCGTTGTCGTGGTTGTGATGGTTGTGTTTGTCATGATTGTCGTGATCGTCGTAGTGGTGGTGGCCGTCATCGTGGTCGTGGTCGTCGTCGTGGTCGTCGTGGCCGTGGTCGTGATTGGCGTGGTGGTGGTCGCCGTCTCTGTCGAAATCGGCGTCGTCGGCGTCGTCATTGTCCTCCTCCTCTTTTTCCTCCTCGTCTCATCTAGGAGCCATGCGTTAGTATCGGCACGATGTATACAGGGAAGGCAGCTCTGCTTCTGCGCAAGGGCGTGTCGCACTCATCGAGAGGGCCCGTAGGAGGAGGGCCAGCGCCGAGGGAAAGGCGCAGGGGAGGCCTCTGATGGGGAAGCTGATTTGCGATCTCCGACTTTTCAATCGGCTCGTGCTGCGAAAGGCACGCGCGCGAGCCAACAGGCACAGCATCAGATGATAGTCATGTTCTTGCTGGTAAAACCAAGGGTGTAGTTACGCCGGGGTGTGGTTTGCTATCTGCGTTGTTAGGGCTTGGGGGGCACCACGTTGCCTCGACGGGCCTCCTTGGGGCGCGGCGGAAAAATCTGTTGAGGTCCTCGCCTGCCCCCCAGGGTGCGCTTTGCAAGCCACACCCTTCGGAGTCGCCGATCCCCGCTGCTACCGGCGCCTGGCTCCCTTGGCGTTGTCGCTGGGGGGTCCGACTCCCCCCCCCTTCCCTTCCTCCTTAGTAAGAATCGGGACTGCGCACAGACCCAGACATTCGGGACCGTCAGAAGACGACTCTGAATGAGAAGCCGGTCCCACGCACGGAAGTGGTTGAGAGGAAATCGGGGGCTTGTGTGTCTCGAACAAATCGGGATGTCGGATGTCTGGGGACAGTCCCCCCAGGTGATCCCGGCTAGCCTCTTCCTCCTCCTCCTCGTGCCGAGGCGGCGCCCATGGCGTAGCAGTGGGAGCCCCAACAGTGCGCACGCATGCCTATGCACCACATATGTGGTGCATCCTGCACGTCGCCAGACCAGTAGGCGAACGTATTTTCGAGGTTATGCATTCCACCCTGCAGTTCAGCCGCATAGTAAGGATTGCAACCTTCTCAAGGGTACCCTTGCATCCCTGCCTCCTCAGTCCATCCCTGGCCACTTTCGTTGGCCGCGCCCCGCTCGAAAAGCTTCGAAATGGCCTTCCAAGGCCCTGGCATCATCCTGCATCCGTATGATACGGGTCTGCGCCCGAAGATGATGCTCAGGCCTCTGGGGCGCTCCGCGTCCTGGGGTGGGGTGGTGGTGCTGAGGCCGCCCCAGGCTGCCCGGGGGGGCCTGTTGAGGCCAGCCGCGGCTACCGGGGGGGCGGGTCTGTCTGCGGGCAGCCCGAAGCCTTGCTGTTCCAGACATCGGCTGCTCCAATGTTTTCGATGCGTGGGCCCCGGAGGTCTGGACCACTTCCCTGGAAGGGCCAGTTATTCGTCCCGAGTCGCTTTTTGACGGTCCCGAGGCCTGGCGAGGGCCCCCGGAGGCCGAAAACAGGCCAGAAATGTCCGCTCCATTTTTTGAAAGTGTCGTATCTCTGGGATCCTTGCTTCTTGCGCCGCGCGGTGCACCCATCGGCAGGTGGTGCGTATGCTCTCCACGCGCTCCCCTCCCTCCTCCTCCCACCGCCTCGTCCTGCAGCTGGCGCGCGAGTCAGTGACAGCCAGGCGGCGCGCGCTGACTGTGTTCCGGAGAGACAAAAAGCACACAGGCACAAATAAACGTCGATTCCCAGGAGGAGATGGGAAAACATGAGGGGTGGAGGGGAAGACGACCCCCCAGAAACAAATGCAAACATGGGGAATTCTGGTTTTTTTCTATGTCCCTGGGCCCTTTCATGTGCTGGGCTTCGGAGCCGGATCGATCGTGGCTCGCACGACGACTAAGCGGACAGGTGTGGAGCGGGGTCAGTCGGTATTTGTTTGGATTCTGTCCGCTCGACCCCTCTCCTCCTGCGGCTGCCACCGGATCTCACGTCTGGATCCCGCGTTTTTCGGTTGTCAAGGCCGCCAGGTCGCACAAGTCGTAGCTCGGCCTCGCCCGTTCCCCACCCGGACCCAGGCATCGGGCGTCTCGTATTTTTGAGACACGGCCTCCCGACCTCTCGACCACGTTCCAGGGACCGGCTTTTCATCCCGAACTGTTTTCTGAAGGCCCCGAGGCCTCGCAAGGGCCGCGGGAGGCTGAAATCGATGAAACCACATTCTCGATTTTTTCTCGGGCGAATGGTAGTGGGGGGTGATCCAAATTTGGTGTGAAGACCTTTAGGGCCTTTTTCCTGCACCCCCCATGTGGGCGCCACCTACCATTAGCACCCGCCCGGTTTTGTCGAGACGCCAGCTCTCTGGGGGGAGGAGGAGGGGCGCGGGGGAGCGGCGCGCGGGATGGGCGCGCGGGGGGTGCGGACGCAGCGCCGGCGGAGGGCCCCTGATGCTCGTGCTGGCGCCGACCCGCGAGCTGGCGCAGCAGATCGAGCAGGAGTTCAAGAAGGCCCTGCCCCGCCCGCCGGCTCCTGGGCGCAGGGCCTCCTGGAGGGGGGCCGCGCAGATGGGGTCGGAGGATCGCCCGCCGCATCGCCGAGGTGTCGGGGATGCGGCCCGATACCCAGACCCCCTCGCGTGGTGTGAAAAAAATCCACGACGGGCAATGCTTCCTAGCTTTCGGCGCTCCGGGGGCCCTCGGACCGTCACAGAGCGACTCCGGATGACAAATCGGACCCCGGGAAGGGGTCCAGACCTGTGGGGGAAACAATCACGACGTCGGGGGTCTGGTATGGAGCCAGATTTTCCCCACGCCGACGACGCCGATGCATCGCCGACGTCGCCAGTGCATCGCTGGTGCATCGCCGGTGCATCGGCGATGCATCGGCGATGCATCGGCGACGCGGCGCGATCCTACGACCACATTTCCTCCGACCCACCTGGGATGCCTCTATGCGCAGGCCTCCATCGGCGCCGCGCTCACTTTTCTAGAGAATCGAGATCCCGCTGGGGGGCGCGGCGCACACTCTTTGCAGATCACTTCGTCGGCGCGCCAGCGGGCGGAAATGTCGCTGTCGCCTCGGCGCCGCGCAGAGCTCGCCTGGAGATGGCGCTCCCGCCTCGCCGGGGCGGCGAGCTCTGGGGGGGAATGCCGAGGGGGGCGGGCCTCCTCAGCGGGCTCGGGAGGCCTCTTGGGCGTCAAAGGACTTTTCTTTGGCCTTCTCCGGAGGCAGATCGGTGGCGGCTTCTCGGAGGGCCGGGAGGGCTTCCGAGAAGCGCCGCCGCCTGCGAAAGGGGGCTTGCCCCCTTCCCAGACCCCCTCGGGCAAGGAACAAATCATGACGGGAGGCTTCTCCTGATCTTCGGCCTCTGGAGGTCCTTAATTACTGGCCCTCGGGACCGTCAACAGAGACACGACTCCGGATGAAAAGCTGGTCCAGGGGAATAGATCGAGACCTCTGAGGGCCCCGAGGGCCGACGTTATGACAAAAACATGACGTCGGGGGTCTGGGTTCAAACTTCCCATTCGTGGAAGGCTTCACGTGGTCGAGCTCCCACTGTATCCGCGGCGGCCCAGGCCTCCCGACCCCTTCTTCGGGTGTCGCTCTGCGCTCTCCGGATCACTTTTGGAAGGCCGCGGGGCCCGATCCTGGGCCCCAGGAGGCCGGACTCGAGGAAGCACCGCCAGACTGGAGACATCACATCTTCGAGCGGCCGCCGGAGGCTCCAAGCTGCGTTCTCGTCGGTTCTCTCGCTTGGAGCTTCTGTTGCCCCGGGACGCCTTCCAGCAGCTGGTGCCTCCCCAAGAGCGCCCCCCGGGGGGGTGCCCGAGTCGTTGAGCGGGCGGCCGCCGGGGGCCTCAAAGTCATGGCGACAACGTCGCAGAGCGGATTTCGTTCAGAAAGCACAAGGCTGGGCCTGGAGTGTCCTGGTGAATTTCGTTTCGGATTTCCAAGTGAATTTCGTGCGGATCTTTTCTGGTCAGGAATGAAGACTACAAAACATCCGCGTGACATTCGCGTCGCTTTTCGCTCGCCGTTTCGGGTATAGCTTACGCATTGCAGAGCTCCACGCAAACATCCGCTGCAGCACGCCTGCTAAGGTCGGTGCAGGGAGGGGTCACGGCTTCTCTGCCGCGTGCGGCGGGCTGTGGCCCCGCCGCCGGGCGTCCTCCTCTATGTCGATGCCGCGGGCGCCGCTGCCGCCGGGCTTCCCCTGGGAGAGCCGGTTGCGTGCCGAGAGCCCCGGCGTCGTGATCTTTTTTCTCCTGGCTTCGCCCCCCCAAGAGGCGAGGGCGCCCTCGAGGGCGCGAAGTTATTCGCGCTTCGCGCTTTGCGGTTCGGCGCTCCGTATCCTCCTCATCCTCCTCTTCTCTCTCGAAGCGCGAAGCTAGGCGCCCTTGAGAGGTCTCATAGGGCTTTCGTCGGGAGTAGTTTTTTGTTGGCGGTCCCGAGGCCCGCTCAGGGCCCCCGCAGTCAGAAGATTGCCAGAACGGCTTCCCCTTTTGATTATTTTCTGACTCGAGGGGATTTGAGTGAGCTGATTCGGTATTCCCTTTACTACCAGTCCTTGTCGTGCGTCCCTATCCTCCAGTCTTGGTATCCTTTTCATTCCTTCAAAGACACCACTACTCTTAACTCGTGTAGGCGTACCAGATAAGACCATACCCAAAACGACCATACCCAAAACGACCATGTTGAAGTCGTTTAGGTATGCTCGAAAGCGGTAGTACGTAGGATGCCGACGTGCACTTCTTATGCACGCCCAGCGACCCCACACGCTTGATTTACGCACGCAGTTACGCACGCAGACCCAAGTTGCCCCCCCCAGAGTCTTAAGACAACCGAAGGGAACCCGATCCTCCAGGCTGCCTTCTCTCCACATATCCGGCGTCTCGATTCTTCGAGACGCGGACCCCCGACCTCTCGACCATTTCCCCTGGCTCGGCGACCCGATTTCGATCCAGTTCGGGACGACTCGCTGGCGATCCGATCCGTTTCAGGCCCGATCCGATCCCGCGATCCGATGCAGTTCGGGCCTGCTTCCTCGCGCCGTGCCGAGGTCACGGCGGCAGGTCTTTGGCAAGCATGGGCTCCTGGGGGCCCTTGTGCCGGCCCCCGTGGGCAGTGATACCGAACGGCTCAGGAGTTGCGATGTTCCAACTTACTTTAGCCTTGATCGCCCGAGAGGGTTTCGAGCACCAAGAAGGTACCGAACCTGGAGGGGTTTCGCGTGTGGCGGGCCCTGGAAGGCGATACTCGTTTGACGCTTCGCTAGCGTGTCGAGCAGACACGGCGGCGATGCTTTTCTGGGTGCTCGAAATTATTCCGAGGATGTAGCCCGTAAGTACGATGCGAACTACATGACTCAGGATGAAGAGCCGGCCCCCTAGAAAGGGCCCGTGCCTCTGGGCAGGCGCGTCGCGGAACAACCCCGACGCCAGAAGCCTGGGCCTCGCCCCACTGCTGCGCCCTCCCCAGCATTCCTACGGCGTGGACAAAAGTCACGACGTCGATCCCCAGAGCTCTAGACCCCTTCCTCGGGACTGGCCTTCCATTCAGAGTATTTGTATCTGAAGGTCCTGGGGCCCGGCGAGGGCCCCTCGGAGGCTGAAACTCGTTACACATTCCTTTCGCGACCTCTCCTCGAAGACGGGAGGTGGTCGGACGGGGCTAGGACGAGGATAAATCCGTTACAGAGCGTTCCGGAGCGCTCTCAGAGCGCTCCGGAACGCTCTGTGAAGGCCGCGGCGCCCGGCACATCTCCCAGTGCCGTCAGATCCTCTGAGATTCTCGATATTGATGATATTCACTCGGATTTCTCCTCGTCCTGCCTTCGTCTCAGGTGGGGATCGCTGCCGCCTTGGCGCCGCCTTGCTCAGGTCATCCCCCCGAACCTGCGGTCCGTCTGCTGCTACGGCGGCGCGCCCAAGCGCGACCAGGCCAGCGTGCTGCGCCGGGGCGTTGAGGTCATCATCGCCACGCCTGGGCGCCTGATCGACTTCCTGCAGGATTTTCGGGGAAGGAGGAGAAGGAGGAGGAGGAGGAGGAGGAGGAGGAGGGGGAGGAGGAGGAGGAGGAGGAGGAGGAGGAGGAGGAGGAGGAGGAGGAGGGGGGGAGGAGGAGGGGGGAGGAGGAGGGGGAGGAGGAGGAGGAGGAGGAGGAGGAGGAGGCCTAGACCCCGTCGGCGGGGCGTCGGCGCGACCGCGCGGCCTCCGCGCCCGCGGCGCCGAGGCCCAGCGCGCCCCGGGCCGCCGTGCGCGGCAGGGGTTCAACCCAGACATGCTCGTGTCGAAGGTCGGAGTTCGAGGGTTTCGTGCGTTTTCGTCGGTTGCCGTTGGTTTTCCCGCTTCGGGGGGCTCTCCAACAGCTGCGCCTCGCCGAGAGCGGTCGGGGGTGCCAGAATCGTCCCGAGCGGCCGCTGGAGGCTCGAGTTATGGCCCGGGAACCATTCCTGTCGAGGTGCGCAAAAAGTCACGATGGGTGGTTTTTGGCATTTGGCGGCCTCTGGAGGCACTCGCCAGGCCCCAGGACCGTCAGACAACCACTCACGATAAAAAGCCGGCTCCAGGCAGAGGGTCGTGACTTCGGGAGACCCCGTAGGGAACAAAGCAAGACATCGCATGTTTGGGAAGCCACACCGAACCCCATGATGGGCGGTTGCTGGTGAGGCATACCTCTCCTCTTCGCCGAGAGGCTCCTTGTCCCCGACGCTCCTCTTCCTCCTGCCGTGTCCCTTCCCGGCAGGTGGTTTGGTGGTGGCCCCACCGAGATGTCGGGGCACATCTTTCTCGGCGGAAGTTGGATGGATCAGCATCTGCCGCCATATGCGCAGGCACTTGGATAGGCGATAGTCAGTGTGCAGCCAGAGTATCCGTTGAGAGACAATTCCGTGAGGTGCGGCACACCTTCTCCAGTTTGCTGAGACATTGATTTCGCATAGCTAGTTGTTTGCTATCGTGTGCTGCAGAACAGCCTGTCTGGCAGTGTTTTTTTTACACAGGCTCTGCGTTTGTGCACGACGGAGTCCGCCTACGGGGCCAAGCGTTTTGCTGTTCCTCGCGCGCCGCCTGGTCGGAGCTGTGGGTCCAGGTCTGGCAGCGCATCGCAGACTGGGGAGGTGCCGATTGCATTGGCATCCGCAACGTAAAAAAAGGCACAGCACAGAAGCCCTTATCCAGTCTGGTCGGTTGTCGCGCTTGGAAACAGAAGGCAATGCTCACGCGGATGACTGGGCTCAGTGGATGGCCTCGACGGCTCGCATTCCCTCCGAGCTCCGTGAGTCCCGCACGGCCAAGGCCCTGGCCTTCTCTAGATAGGCTCAAGGGGTCGCCCGCATAGGCCCGCGTATGTGCGATATCGATTGTCAACATGTCTCGAAGAAACAGCGTGGCGCTAGTGGCAATGAGAGAATGCATCGTTCCGTGCCTGTCGTGGTTGTGGAGCCGCCATTGCCTGTTGTGCTACGCAGCCTGTCTCGTGCTGACACGTGATGCGCCCTTTCGCCGTTATAGGGGATGAGGGGCGGAGGCTTTGGTGTACGGTGTGTGTGTGTGTGTGTGTTGTGTGTGGGCTGGGGGGGGGGGAGACGAAGATCTCTGTCAACTTGTCGCAGGGCTGCCAAAGCCCTTCTGCACCTGGCACCTGGGGTGCCCGCGTGCTCGCTGGCCTCACATGCTCACCTGTCAGATTTCAGGTCCACAGTGTCTGGCGGTACCTTGTCGAGCCCTTGCGCACCGCCTCGGTCATCAGGGCTGGGGTGGTGTAACCTATCTGATGGGTCGTACTGTTCGGGAGGCGTTACCCGCCTCTGGCTACGGCCATGCGGTGGCGTAAGTGGCAAGTGGCGCGGACGAACTCGTTCGCGCTCAGGCTGGGTCCAGGAGGGAGAGAAGGAGGAGGAGGAGGAGGAGGAGGAGGAGGCGGAGGAGGAGGAGTTGGAGGAGGACGAGGAGGACGAGGAGGACGAGGAGGAAGAGGAGACGGAGGAGGAGGAGGAGGAGGAGGGGAAGGAGGTGGAGGAGGGCGAGGAGGAGGAGGAGGTGGAGGAGGAGGAGGAGGAGGAGAATCAGGAGGAGGAGGAGGAGCAGGATGATGATGATGCTGATGATGCTGATGATGCTGCTGATGATGATGATGCTGATGATGATGCTGATGATGATGATGATGAGGATGATGATGATGATGATTCTGATGATGATGATGCTGATGACGATGACGATGACGATGATATGATGATGATGATGATGATGATGATGATGATGATGATGATGATGATGATGTTGTGATGATGATGATGATGATGATGATGATGCTGATGCTGATGATGATTGATGATCAGATGAATGATGATGATGATGATGATGATGATGATGATGATGATGATGATGAGGATGATGATGATGATGATGATGATGGTGATGATGATGATGATGATGGATGATGATGATGATGATGATGATGATGATGCTGATGATGATGATGATTGATGATGATGATGATGATGATGATGACGATGATGATGAGAGGAGGAGGGAGGGGAGGAGGAGGGGAAGGAGGAGGAGGAGGAGGAGCAGGAGGAGGGGGGAGGGGGAGAGGAGGAGGAGGAGGGGAGGGAGGGAGGAGGAGGATGAGGAGGAGGAGGAGGCGGAGGAGGAGGGAGGAGGAGGAGGAGGAGGAGGAGGAGGAGGAGGAGGAGGAGGATCAGGAGGAGGAGGAGGAGGCCGAAGAGGAGGATGAGAAGGATGATGATTTGGAGGAGCAGGAGGAGAGGGTCGAAGAGGAGGATGATTCCGCTGCATCGCCTATCAGGGCGGCGAGACGAACCTGCGCCGCGTCACCTACCTGGTCATGGACGAGGCCGTCGCGCGGAGTGAGGGAGGGGAGTGGGCTGGGGGAAAGACATGGGGAGGGGAAGGGGAGACTCCCACCTATTCTCTCGTTGCGAAAAAGATCACGACGCACGGCAATTGGCAGTCTTCGGCCTCCCTGGGCCCCCGCCAGGCCTCGGGGCTGTTAAAAACGATTTGGAGCGGACAGCCAGTCCCGGGGACGGGGTTTAGACCTTTGGAGGTCCATGTTCTGAAAACATCACGGGGTCGGAGGTGTGGGGTGGGGGGGAGACAAAGGAAGAGAGTGGCGGAGGAGCACGGGGAGCTGGGGAAGAGTGAGGAGAGGGGAGGGTTGCCAGGAGCGCGAGGGAAGGAGTTGGGTGCGACGGCGGTGGAGGTGAGAGGAGGGGAGTGGACGAGAGGGAAAGGGGTGCAACGGGAAGGCAGGAGTGCAGTGCAGTGGGAGGGAAAGGGGTGGCCTCTCCATGGTGGCTCGCGAGCTGCGGCCAGGCTGCGGCGGCGCGTCTCGGCGGTCGAGTGGCCAGATGTTCAGCGGGGGGGGGGGCAAGGAGGAAGGAGGGTTCCAGGCTCCATGCGGGCTTGACGATTTTGCTCAGCGGGAATCGAGCCAGGTAATTCAGGTTGAGTCCAGATGAGTCCGGCACGTCTATGCAAGTCTGTGTAGATCGAACGTTCTCCAGGGGATTCTGGAGGAAATCGTGCAAGCCCAGTGCGAGCTGAGGCACAGCAGAAGCCGTTAAGCTCTGAACGACGGGCAGGGGATGTCTTCGCGAGGGGCGCAAGCATGGGTTAAAGGGCGTGGGTTAGCGACGGGTCACG